ATTCTCTACTTGAACAGTACAGGTATAAATAGCAGTTTCAGGATATAAGTACTTATCTGATTAATGCAGGGGACACTGAACCTAAGGACATGTGCAGCCAGGGCTCACACGGTTGGGGACCTGACTATCGTCTACCGATCCTCAAACCAGACCCTCAGCTCCTAAGTCACCCTGGCGATCAGAAAACTCCCCACCGTAACTCCATAGTTTATGTTCAAAAAAAAAAAAAAAAAAAAAAAACACGGAAAAAAGAAAAAAAAAAAAGTGCCCTTTGGAGAAGAAAGGTCCTGACTTCATCAAAATCAGAACCTTGCTGTGATAGGGGTCCGCCAGTGACAGGTGGGGCCAATGATGTCCACGTGTCGTTACGTCCCGACCGGGCTGATGGCACGCTCATCACTATTTATAGAGGTCGCCTGCACGTGTTCTTTCCAGGTGTACGTCCTTCATCTTTGCATGGGATTGCCACCCCCACCCACCAACATCAACTTCGGGTGGATGCCGGGTATGCAAGCAAGAGGAAGCAGGAAATAAGCGAGACTGAAATGCAAGCGAAGACGCCGACATAAAAAAAAAGAACGAAAGTAGAGAAATTAACTTTTATTAAGCTTTTCGACTTCCATATCCGACACTCAGTGAAGGCCCCTTAATGTTTATGTTATAAAATCTAAGAAAGGTGACAGTTAACTCTCAAACAGTGCACGACTAAGAGTTAGCGTGACATGGTCTGAATTCAAATTAGTATTATATATATATATATATATATATATATATATATATATATATATATATATATACTTGGTTGGATTGATGTGAGTTTGTGACCCTGGGTTTCACGCTTTTGCGATCGTCAGACAAACGGATTATTTTTTTTTTAAATTTGGGTTTATGTAGATTGCGTGTATTGTTGTTATTATAGAAGCGTTAGCATGAGTGACATCATGACGGCGACCCCCCCACCAGACCGACTTCCATAATAACACCAATACACGCAATTTACATGAATCCAAATTTTCTAACTGCATTTATGTGCGGATGTAATATCCTATAATAATGAATATTGCTCTACTACACACACACACACACACACACACACACACACACACACACACACACACACACACACACTCAAAAATATATATATATAGTTACATTTCCAGATCAATTCTGTGGTCAAGACAGATTGGTATAAAATGACAATTTTAAATTTGGATTTTTAATGTAACTACAACAACAAATCATTTCCATTTCATTTTTACCTTGAAAAAGTCGGAAAAATCTAAGATTTATTTCCAATTGTCATTTTATACCATATATATATATATATATATATATATATATATATATATATATATTATGTGAAAATATATAGAAAATAGGAATCACAATGGTTAGGTAAATAATCCAAAGTCCCTTAGTATTTTAGTTATTATTTTTTAAAAATAGTGCTCGATGCAAAAGTAGAGCATAAATATAATTATTTATTTAAAAATATGATTCCAATTCGCGACATAAGAGGTCTCATGTTTCAAAACAAGAACCGAAAACTTCTATATAATTATTTGAATTAAATTGAGTTAAAGTAAGCCCTGTTCCATCTTAAAACACGTAAATTTCAGAAATACGTTATTCCAAAAAAGATAAGTCCCTTAGTATTTTAGTTATTATTTTTAAAAATAGTGCTCGATACAAAAGTAGAGCATAAATATAATTATTTATTTAAAATATGATTCCAATCATATTTTTAAATAATTATATATATATATATATATATATATATATATATATATATATATATATAAATAAATGAACATTGAAGTCAACACTTAGAAGCAACAGGCTGTCTCATGCTAGACGCAATCGTCAGGTGGCTTGACGATTGCATCTAGCATGAAACAGCCTGTCGCCTGTTTCAATGTTCACTTTTATATTTATACACGCTCTATCTCTGATACTGAGCACTTTATCCCATAAATATAGAACACCTTAAGACTATATATATATATATATATATATATCTAGAAGTTTTGAGATTGATTCAGGAGAGTTATTTAATTTAAGACAAAGCTCTAACCTCTTTCAAAGTAGGACCCTGCCACTTCAATGTCCTTCATCTACTTTTCACTGAAGTCCTGAAAAATTAAGGTGTTAAATCCTTCTTTATCTCCCACAAGCCTTCGAAATTTCGGTCCATTAGCAGTCTTGAACATTTCATAGGTTTCTGCAGCGTTCTTGTCGAGTTTGTTGCTTAGCGAGCCACCAAATTTTCCTGATGACCGACCTGCATTGTGTAAAGTAGTCAGGTGTGACAAGACGTGTGTAGCAGGTGGTGTTTATAAGCCTGTACCGCTCTGACCTTTGGACCTGGAAGCAAATGATTTGACACACTGGCTTATTACAACTGCAGTGAAGGTACATTAAAGTGACAATTATCTAGGACAAATAAAAGTCCCAGTCAACCCCCACCCCGCAAAAAAACAAAAAAACAAAAAAAAAAAAAACTCAAAATTTCTTACATCAAAAGTTATTTTTTAGGGATATCCACTACTTAATAGACACTATTTAAAATAAAAATGGAGAGACTATTTCAAACATTTTCAAATGGCGGTTGAAAAATAAATGTATTAATGTATTAATTCTTTAGAAATTCCTTCATATATATACTTAATACTTCTCGAATTCACTCTCGCGTGGTCATGTGTGACGTCATAAGCTGCGGTGCGATTTTCGCTTCCAGCGTCTTATATGCACGTGTTTATCGTTGCTAGGAAATCATCCATGTAAACAATAACAGACTATGATCACTGTCTTGTCCGTATATTGCTTAATATATTGTACAATAATTGTCACCTTTGATAATGACATATGTAAGCCGAAAGCTTAGATTGGATTAAAAAAAGATGTATCAATATTGTGATTTTCTTTCTTCGTTTAATGATAATGTTATTAAGCTTATCAGACGTTATGAAAAGAATTTACATAAAATAAATAGACAACACTTGTCTATAATATTTAATGGAACACGTATGAATGAAAAAAGGCTGCCTAAATACACAATATATATATATATATATATATATATATATATATATATATATATATACCAGGTGTAAGAGCAAAATTGTACAAATCTTGTAGCAGCAAAATTGTCCATTTGTTAGATCAAGATTTGGACCGTTGTATCTTAGAGATGATTAAAGATATCTTACTGGAATTTAAATTTGATCAATATTAAGTTTAAAAGAGCAACAATAATTATATATATATATATATATATATATATATATATATATATATATATATATATATATATACAACAAAAAAAAATATACCTCACCATAGAAATAGTATATTTCAAACCGTTGTATGCAGGGCTATCATCAGCATGCTCCGAGACAGACACTTAGGGGCTGATGATAGCCGCGCACAGAACGGCTTGAAATAGACTAACTCTATGGTGAAATAATTTCTTCCTTTTTTTGCTGTAAAATATATATATATATATGCTCTGTTAAAATAAGAACATCAATCTCTCTGTGAATCAGTTTTAATGATTAATATTACTAGGATCCACCAGAATTATATACCAACGGATTGATTACCTGTACTATATATATATATATATATATATATATATATATATATATATATATATATATATATATATATATTAAAGACTTTTTATGTTTAACGTTGTTATTTTATAGATACAAGTATTTAAGCAACTGCTCTGTTTATGATAAACAGTATTAAATAACATTTACCGGCCTGAATGTCCGAGAAATTTTCATAGAAAATATTCGTTCTTTGACAGGATTCGAACCTGCATCCTATACGGAACCGTCATATACGCTTAAATACTTGTATCTATAAAATAACAACGTTAAACATAAAAAAGTCTTTAATAAATAAATTGTCGGACCTTGTCCATTTCTTAATATATATATATATATATAAAGAATTAGTTTTAAGGTGTGCGATACTTATGGGATAAAGTGCTTAATATCAGAGATAGCGCGTATGTAAATATAAATATGAAAGTGAACATTGAAGTCAACACTCAGAGGCGACAGGCTGTTTCATGCTTGACGCAATTGACAATTGCACATAGCATGAAACAGCTTGTCGCCTCTGAGTGTTGATTCACTTATATATATATATATATATATATATATATATATATATATATATATATATATATATATATATATCTCAGCGTAAAGAAACGTTGTTCACTTATGCTTCTTATGTTATTTTTGTATATAATAGACCGATGAAAGAAAATTCGTTGGCCTTTTGACGAAATGGAAGCATGGTGACAAAAATTTAAAAATCGTAATTTTCGGTCACGCCTACGTCCTTTTTCAACGAGATGGGGAATAAAAAAGGATGTAGAACATTTTTTCCGGGGGAATATTTTTGACAAACCCTTCTACAAAAGCTTTACAACCCTAATCGTGGCAAACATCTAGCCCACAACTATAAGATCTCTTCAATAGTATAACATATTTTTTTTGTCGTTTGTGTTATATTACTGACGATATTTGATACAACTGATATTTGGCACATGTATTATTCTGCTTGATTAAGCCATTGTTGATAGATACCAACAGGCGAAGGTAGATGTGAACAGCGATAGACAGATAAATACATACATACATACATTACATACAAAGATAGATGTAAAATATTGAGATAGAATATATTCGTCCCTCCAAAGTTAGATATGAACGGACAGAAAGCAATAGATAGATAGATAGATAGATAGATAGATAGATAGATAGATATGAATATATAGATAGATAGATAGATAGATAGATAGATAGATGAATAGATATAATTAGATATATAGATATGAAAAACAGCAAAGTTAGATATGAAACAAAATAGATAGATTTGAAAATTCATATATATATATATATATATATATATATATATATATATATATATATATATATATATATATATAGATAGATACATACATACATACATACATACATTCAAAGATAGATGTAAAATACTTAGATACAAGATATACATACGTCCGTCCAAAGTTAGATGTGAACAGACTGAGATAGATAGATAGATAGATAGATAGATAGATATATAGATAGATAGAACAGAAAGCAATAGATAGATAGATAGATAGATAGATAGATAGATAGATAGATAGATAGATATGAATATATATATATATATATATATATATATATATATAGATAGATAGATAGATAGATAGATATGAAACGGCAGAGTTAGATATGAAACGAAATAGATAGATTTGAAAATTCATATATATATATATATATATATATATATATATATATATAATAGAAAGATAGATAGATAGATAGATAGATAGATAGATAGATAGATAGATAGATATGTATATATATATATATATATAGATAGATAGATAGATATGAAACGATAGATAGGTATATTGATAGATAGATATGAAACGAAATAGATAATTTTTATAAATGTTAAAGACAATAGGAAAACTAATAGTTGCCGACGCGTTTCGTCCAATGTGGACTTTTTCAAGGCAAAAACGAAATGAATTTGCCAAACTAATTAGTAACTAATAATAACAAAACAAAATGTCCTTAGCAACTGGAAGAATTTAGAGAACGTTAAGGACATTTTGTTTTGTTATCATTAGTTATTTTGTTTAAATAAATTCATTTCTTTTTTGCCTTGAAAAAGTCCACATCGGACGAAACGCGTCGGTAACTATTACAGTTTTCCTATCGTCTTTTATATTTATAAATATTGTCTCTTTTTCTACAGGTTAACTCTGAGATATTTTTCATAGATAGATAAATAGATATGAAACAACAGAGACAGATAGATAGATAGATAGATAGATAGATAGATAGATAGATATGAACCAATAGATATGAACAGATAAAGAAAGATCAAAGCAAACTGAGAAAGAGATAAGTATAAGACCAGACTAAGATAGGTTAATAAATAAATAGAGAGAGAAGGGGAAAAAGAGAGAAATATGCCAAAAGTCACGAGGTTGATGTCTCGTATCGAGTAAGAGCACCTCTGTTCCGGTGAATTGCAACAAGTCGGCGTGACATCAATTCCCTACTCCCAGGGTCCAGAAGATCTTTAGGGAGACGTTGAGGCATACCGTCTCGATAGTTGTTTACATCTCCTTGGTGTCTGCAAATGCTCTAATAAACTTCGACCTCACACTCAATAAATACGCCATTGTGCCTACGTTTAGCGAATGTGATAGGCATCCCATTTCACCGAAAATCCCCAGAATGCGCCTCAAGCCAACTGATTCAGCTTGATCACTGTTGTAGCATAGCTACGAACGATAATAGGTATATCCCCATTCGCATAAATACTGTATGTTGGTCTGCAGTCGGAGATTCGTCTTCAGTTGTGCTGGTCAAACTCTCTGGCTCCGGACAGAGAGGATCCGCAGACGAGGCTATGTCGAAGGACAGTCTCTCGTCCCGGGAAACAGCTACACGACTCTGTTTTATACGGTGTCTACGGAGAATTTTTGGCCGAGCATACGGGATCAGATACCCCACATTAAATTCGGTCTTGTGCCACATCTGACCGCGTGGGGCTGTTGGTAGATATCCTGCAGTTGGAGATTCATTGTGGAATTAACTTTACTCACTTCTAGCAGTTGACTACTTCTACGCGCCGCTGGCGAATCTTATATGTGTTGTTCTTGTCCTAAGTATTATCGTTCATTACCAACCTTCGTTTGATTATTCTATTCAGTAATTTTTCCTACGTTACAACAATGGCACGATACATTTATCTTGCTGAAACAGCCCATCGTTGTTGGGCTCTTTGCTTTTTATCTGACGTGTCCTTTCAGGACGTAGGCGATCATGGCTCTCCACTTCACCCTGTCCCTTGTAGCTCTAAGTTTCGTCCCTCTGCCATCTCACCCAATCCACGTTCTAGCGTCATCCACTTGCTTAAACCCGCCAGATATGTCATGCGTTGCTTTCCCTCGTCTCTCTTTCCTTCTATTCGATCTGTGAGTATCTGATTCTCCAGGCCCTCTTTTCTCATTACATATCCCAGAAACTTCAGCTGCCTCTTCCTGATGTTAAGTATAAGCCTCCTCTTTGTTTGCATCCTCTCTAAGACCTCATCGTTGCTCACACGCTCGGTTCAGGATATCCTCAACTTCCTTCTGCAGAACCATACCTCCGTTGCTTCGAGTCTCTTCTTCATCTTTGAGGAGACCGTCCAACATTCGCTGCCGTAAAGGAGGACAGATGTCACGTAACAGGTTAATACTCTTTTCTTTGTTACCAAAGAAATCCTCCTGTCTCGTAATACTCTGCCTAGCTTTTGGATTGCGTCCTTGGCCATCCCAATACGTCTTCGGATCTCAGTTGCCACGAGTCTCTTCTTCATCTTTGAGGAGGCCGTCCGACATTCGTTTCCGTAAAATGGGTTATTTAATGCTGACAACATTTTTATTGCTGGTAATATTTTTTTTTCTCAAAACTGTATTTCTAGTAATATTTTTTCCTTCAAAAAATCTATTTCTGGTAATATTTTTCCGTTCAAAAAACCTATTTCTGGTAATACATTTTTTCAAAAAACCTATTTCTGGTAATACATTTTTTTCAAAAAAACCTATTTCTGGTAATACTTTTTTTTCAAAAAGCCTATTTCTGGTAATACCTTTTTTCAAAAAACCTATTTCTGGTAATACATTTTTTCAAAAAACCTGTTTCTAGAAATACTTTAAAAAAAAATGTAATGCTGTTAATAATATATTGCTGGTAATAATCTCTTCAAAAATCCATTGATGGCAATAATTCTTTACAAAGTGTTTCTGGTATTAAAACCTATTTTTAATTTTTCACAGTGTTTTGACGCCAGTTTGGGGGTTAACTATTTTCCTATAGCTGGGACCCTAACAGGTGCTACCACCCCGGGTCAGGGTGGACCTGGGAACATCAGCAATTAATAGGTGGTTCCACGCTCCACAAAACCTCCTATCAGAGGCCTTGCTGCTGGACTTAGTTTATCGTCTTACCCATGACGCGGATATTGTTTATTGTCATAGCTACGAACAGCTTGGACTGGCGCTGGCCAGTTTGGACCGACTATGACAAGCCAAAACCAGCTATGACTAGCTTAGACCAGCTATGACCAGCTTGGACAAGCTATGACGAGCTAAGACCAGCTTAGACCAGCGGCCCGAGTGAAAAAACTCGGGTCCCCACGTAAAAAAACTAACCTTGTGTCACAACCTGACCCAGTGGAGGGTCAAGTAAATCTCCTTACATGGCACAAGTGGTATCACGGCTGTGATTGGCATGGACGAGCTCTGATCAGCTAAAACCAGCTTAGATGAACGGCCTGAGTGGAAACCGACCTTGTATCAAAACCTGACTTAGTAGTGAGTCAAGTAAATCGCCTTACCTGGCACAGGTGATATCACCGGCTATGAGTAGCTAAGATGAGCTCTGACCAGCCTAGATAAGACATGAACAGCAAGGACCAGATCAGACCAGCGGCCCGAATGGAAAAACTCTGACACAGTAGGGCGGGGGGTTAAATAAATCTCTCCTCATAAATCTAATGCATACTTACCTCGCAGAGGTAAAAGAAAATGTATGCTTGTAAAATGTATAATAGTATCGGAAATAAATGGAAATGCGTAGAGTAACTTATTTTTTTATCCATTCTGACCCAAAGAAGCCGAGACCAACAGAGGTCGGCGAAATGCGTCGTTTGTTAGGTTTTTTTTTCACTTTGTCTCATATATATATATATATATATAATATTTGGCCACTTGTATTCAAGGATACCCGTATACTAAGGCGGCTAGCCAATCCCTACTGCAGACGCTTGCTCAGGCGCATTTTGTTTTTGTTCACCCACAGAGCCCACCTATGGTTTATACTACAACTATGCTGAGCAGACCTTAGTTACAGTTTCTGGGAGAGAACGTGTTATCTAGCATGAACAATGGCAGCACACACAAATTCCGAACGTGCCGCACTCTGGGATCGTCCCCCTCCAAACTGATAATGTCAGGATGTCTCCATCTTTACAAATCAACCGTGGTGAGATTCGGGTCTCATGATTAGAAAGCGAATGTTCTAACCACTCGGCCATATATATTTCGGGTGTAATAGCAAAATCATGTAACAGCATAATTGTCCACCCCATAAAATGTTTAATATCTAACCCCCCGCCAAAAAAAAAACCCACTAAACTAATTGAGTTTTTTTTTTCAAAGTTTTCAGATAAGACGTTTAGCCATTTGGACACCATTTGTCGTAAGAATCACTAAAAACCCTTTGAGTTATTTAGCTAAAAAGAGAACAGGTTAAAATCGTTTTGTTTCAGCACCACTGTCTTCCCAACTGAGCAATGGTACCAACATTTATACACTTGCTTCCATCTTGAAAGCCCATTCTAGAACCATAAAAAAAACGGTGAATAAGTTTACAAAAAGGGGGAACAGTAGAAAAGAAAACTCGATCAGGAGGTCACAACAAGAAAAGGGATTATCATTTCAATTTAGAGCTAAAGAGATCAACTAGAAAAGATCCAATTCAATTCATAGGACGTTTGGCATGTGAGAGAGGAGTTTCAGCTATGACAGTCCAAAGAACAGTGAAAAAAAAGAAAACAAAAAAAACAAACTTGAAAATGAAATCGTACATGAAACCTGTGAGAAACCTTAATATTCCAGGACAGAAATTTAGAATGTTAGAGAAGGCGAAGATCATTTTGAATAAGTTGGAAAATTATCCCGGAATAATATATATATATGTATATTTGAATTTATTTCAATCCTTCATGAGGTTCTTTCCCTTAGCTATGATTAATTAATGATGAACATGTCATTTTTGTTTATGATCGACTTCATTACAATTCTTTTGTTAAGCATGTTGAGTAATTATACATTTTTATTGCTCCGAGTCCGACAGCGTTATAAAGAATTCCAGTAAGATATCTTTAATCATTTCTAAGATACAACGATTCAAAGCACAATCTAACAAATGGACAACTTTGCTGTTACACGATTTGGAAATTTTTTGCTTTTACATCCGGTATATATATATATATATATATATATATATATATATATAAATCAAGCCCTGTCCACATTTCTCACCCATACAAGACCGACATGCTTGCGGAGGTGTTGAGGTCTCACACTCATACGCACACCCGTAATAATATATACACTTAAACGCAACATACACACTCCCAAAGAACTAAATGATAATATACACTTAACACACACAATCCCCTTCCCAGCAACCATTAACACTGTCAAATTGACCAAAGGAATACTGGGCCTCTATCTCTAACGGAAAAAAAAACACAAAAAAACAAACAAACAAAAAAACAAAAAAAAACAAAACAAATGAAAACTACGGATAAAGTTCATTTTCTCCAGAAAGTCATTAATACTTGCAGTTCACTGCTACTAAGGAGCTGGATTTTTTTCTCCTGATGATGTCCATGTTGGCCGAAACTAGTTGAAATAACAAAAAAAAAATATATATATATATATTAATATACAACACAATGTATCTGAAAAAAAATTAATTTTTTAATTTTTTAAAGGTTTTATTGTTAAAACACACACACAGACACACACACACACACACACACACACACACACACACACACATATATATATTATAAATTAACTGATTTAAAAATATGGCTCCTTCGCTACACAGGAATTACCATGTTTCAAAAATCGATGCTAAAAACTTCAAATTTAATAATATAGTATCTATACTCTGTAAATTTACACTGAGCACTGTTTTGTAAAAATAAAAATATCAATAAGAACATCGGATTATATATCTTACTGTTCTTTCTTTTTTTATATAATATATATATATATATATATATATATATATATATATATATATATATATTATATATGTGTGTGTATGTGTGTGTGTGTGTGCGTGTGTGTGTGTGTGTGTGTAAGCAAATATATGGATATAGATTCGACAGTATGAAGAAAAATATACAGATTAACAAACAAAAATCCTAATATTCGATTATGCTGTTTTAAACTTATATGTACGTTTCTCTAGTAAAGGGGAAATATAGTTTTAGATCAGAATAAAATTCTTTTCGTTTTTTATTCAAAATACACAAATTTTAGGAATACGTTTTCACAACATCGCCCACGTGACGACGACGTGATCATATTCAAACGGAACGCTGATCTTATAAAAGATTTCAGTTATCTGTTTGGATTGGTATTGCTTTTATGTCCATCGTCTTTTTCATGTTGAATTGTATATGGTCTATGTTAATTATGTTTTATGAATATGTCCTGAAGATGGTCTATTAGACCGAAACATCCGACGTTGACATTAAACATTAAAACAGCATAATCGCATATTAGGATTTTTGTTTGTTTTTTCAGTATATTTTTCTTCATTATATATATATATATATATATATATATATATATGTATTCATGAATTATTCACACAAAAACAAATGCAAAGGTTAATGATTTAATTGGCAAACAATTCAAATAATATACAAAAACCTCCGAATCCGTTATGAATGAAAAAGATCCTTGTTTCTATAAATTTCTGCCGCATTAGTTCTTATTTTTACTACAAGCTTTCGTCTGTTCCTACAGACATCTTCAATATATATGGAATATATATATATATATATATATATATATATATATATATATATATATATCCTTAACCTCAAATTGTGAGATTGGTCATTGTTAACCAATTGGTGAAGAAGTATGTAGATCTTTGACAATCATCTATTTCTATTTATTTGTTTCCTGTATTTTGGGAAGTTTTTATTTTTTGTAAGACAATTTTTTTTTTTGTCTAGTCTTTACATTAATAACTAAACTATATTTAAGAACTCAATCTTGTTTTTGTTTAATCGTGATCTAAGACATTTGCCCGAAAAGTGCATCTAATATCTGGATAGGGCCCGGTCGTGGGAGGTTGTAGGTCGTGTGGCGAAAGCGAGATGGGCCACGTGTAGTGTCGTGTGGCTATTCTGGAAAGGCTGGGATTTGGGACCCGACCCGACCGGGGCCAGGTGGGTAAAACGGCGACAGTGCTGACACTCTCTACCCGGTCGGAAAAGAAGGGTGGTGGACCCTACTATAAAAAAAAATTATATATATAGATCTTGGGCTACGGAGTTAGTAAAAAACAAACAAAAAAAAAACAAAAAACAGAAGGGTAGGTGCTAGATCGGCTCGGTAACACTTCCTCCCACCCCGACTGCTGAATCCACCCCAGTACAACAGACGCATCGCCTCATCAAGCAACGGAGTTTGGTGGGAGACGGCCCGCGCCAACTTTCCCACAGTTAAGATCGGCGCACTCCCTAGACACCCCACCCCACACTAATACCCTTTCCCTGCTGGCTTGTCCTTTAGATATAAGAGATGAGGAAGGCACCCTTCTGGTCGCATGCCGGGTGGAAAGAAAATGTAGGGTAGGGGAAAAAATGGGAGTACGAGGAAAGGTAACAATGTCATAGCTTTCTACCTTAGCGTTTTTTTATTAATTTTATTTCTTCGTCCTATGAAAAATTGAAGGAGCGAGAGAAAGGCTTAAAAGGATATTGTAATTACACAGAAGGTCGTTGGAAATTGTATGAAGGCACGGTAGGGCAGATTTTCTATGGAATTATTATTTATTGGTGCGTCTTTTGGGCAGTTTTCGAATATTGATCGAAGGAAAATTTTCTTTCCAAATGTACTCGCACGCGGCGATACGCACACCCGTTTTTATACACTAATGTCTGTTCAATCTATCTATCTATCTATCTATCTATCTATCTATCTATCTATCTATCTATCTATCTATGTATTCGCTTGAAGATGAAATGGTACTAATGCTTTTAATTTAATTGCAAAATTAAATTCGGGGTTTTTAGCTTCTATTTTTGAAACATGGTTGGAACTGTGTAGCGAAAAAAACCATATTTTAAATCAATTAATTTATAATATTAATGCTCTGTAAATTTACATTGAGCACTATTTTGTAAAAATAAAAAGATCTATAAGAACACCGGATTTTATATCTTACTGTTATATATATATATGTATATATATATATACAGGGTGTCTACAAAGTCTTTAGACAATTTAAAAATGTCATTACGAAAAACTCAGAACAAGATTTTTGTTGCATATTAATAGGTTACTACTAATGTTTTTTTAATGATATTAATAGTTTTATTAATGTTAGTTTTTATGTTTCGGACAGAAGTTAATGCCTTTTCATGTTGCAGATCAAAATAAATTGGTGGGACCCTATATATATATATATATATATATATATATATATATATATATATGTATATATATATATATATATATATATATATATATATATATAAAAATATTCATTATCTGCCTTAATTAACGAAAGATGCGTAAAAAAGAAAGCTTATTGCCCAAATATACATTTATATATATATATATATATATATATATATGTGAATATATATATGTGTGTGTGTGTGTGTGTGTGTGTGTGTGTGTGTGCGTGTGTAAATTATTTACAAATAGACTGTATCAGTAAAGGGGTAAAATGAATACAAGGAAAACATATATATATATATATATATATATATATATATATATGGAGAGAGAGAGAGAGAGATAGATATAGATAGGTATAGATATAGATAGATAGATAGATAGATAGATAGATAGAAAGAAGTCACCGTTCTTAACATTTACTAACATATATATATATTTTTGAATAAAAAACAGACCACGTTAGATTCCATGTAATAAGCTATTTCACCATAACCCCTTTAACAGGGTTCTGGAACATCAGACTTTACTTCCAAAAGCTGAAATGGAAGTAAAGTCTGATGTTCAAACCCTATTAAAGGGGTTATGGTGAAATAGCTTATTACATGGAATCTTAACGGTCTATCTTTATTCAAACATATCTGCTCTGAATTTTACATTGAGCTCTCTGGATATCATCCTCCTCAGATCTACCCATACGGATTACCTAAGTTTGCATAAACTATATATATATATATATATATATATATATATATATATATATAAGAATAAAACAAGAGGAAAAAGAGGGACTGTATTTGTTTTCCTTGTATATATATACACACACACATATATATATATATATATATATATCATGTGAACCTAAACGTCATTTGATCTGCTGTGTTGTTAACCATTTTGCCAAAAAGAAGTGTTACAGGTTCGATTCCTGTCGCAGTGCACATATTTTTCTGCAAAATTTCTTGAACATTCAGTCTGTCTGCTAAATGTAATTAATATTGTTTTATTGAAAACAGACCATTTACTAAAATAAATTATATCTATAAAATTAACGTATAAACAGAAAATATATTTAAATAATTGTCGGACTTTATCGATTTTATAATAATAGGTTGTGAGTGTTTATGTTAAGATACATTTAGGGAGCAGATATGATCGATCAAGAAAAATCTTCAAAGGTGTGTGTTTATAAAAAAAAAAGTAATTTGGACTTTGTTACCCAGGCGATTCTTTCTGGCTCAATGTCTTAACAGCACGTCAGATCAAATGATGGGTTCCCATTAGGGTTACAGGTTCGATTCCCGTCGGAGAAGAACATATTTTCTGCGTAATATCTCGAACATTCGGCCCGGTATATGTAATTAATACTGTTTAATTAAAAAAATTTATTAAATAAATTATCTCTATAAAAATAACGTATAAACAATTTGTATATTAGATATTTCGGTATATATAAATTATAGCTCTATTCTTTTATATCAAGCACAATTGTATTAACACCAGTAATCAAGGTGTGAGATATATATATATATATCTATATATATATCACATCACGTAAAAAAATCGTCGAAAACAATTACAGTAATGAAAACTTGCAACACACATACACACATATATATATATTCACATATATATATATTGCAGTTGAGGATCTGGGGTGGAATATATTTAATTTGCTCAGTGAGACGACCTGATTTCAAAATAGTATGATATGTTGGGCTACGGCCTCTAGCAGTAAAGTTGAATGCTGACATTCGCATTTTATATATATATATATATATATATATAAATAAAAACAGACCACTTTTAGGTTCCATGTAATAAATTATTTCACCATAGCCCTTTTAAAGGACTGTGGATCATCAGACTTTACTTCTAAAGGTTGAAACAAAAACTTTTTTGCTTCAACCTTTGGAAGTAAAATCTGATGATCCGCAGTTCTTTAAAAGGGCTGTGGTGAAATAATTTATTACATGGAGCCTTAAAGTGGTCTGTTTTTATTTACATTATTTGCTCTGGATTTACTTTGAGCTCTCTGGATTTTATCCTCCTTAGGTTTACCCATACGGATTACCTAGTTTTTCATAAACTAAATATATATATATATATATATATATATATATATATATATATATATATATATATATATATATATATATATATAAATATATACGTGTTTAAAAAAAGTTATAGATTCCCTATAAAGTTTTAAAAGAAATTTGACAAATAAAGAACTAGATTTGATTACGTCTTTCGTCTTTCTAATTTTTTGTCAAATGGACAGACCTAAACACATAAATCTTTTACTTTCAAGCCATTTTGAAGGATTAGATGTGAATTTGTCTTGGATTCATTTAAAAAAAAGGCTATATTAATTTCTTGCTTTCGAACCATTCTAAAATGAGATGAGGATTTACATTTATTTCGATAAAACAAAAAAAAAAAAAAATAAATAAAAATGCTGGGAAAAATATGTTAAAATGTCAGTTTACAGGTGGAGTTTTATGGTAAATACAGAGTGCGGCAGAAATACCTCCTACATTTTTTTTATAAGACTATAAATCGATACTGCTATAGGCTGAAAAATTCAGGACCACAGATTCAGCGCTTAAAAGAAAGTCACCTGGAAGACCTCGAAGCGTTCGATTCACAGAAAACCTTCAGCCTCTGAGACAGTTTTCTTCTGCAATCTCGTACACGTTCAGTCCGTAAACATCCTTCTGATTTGGTATTGTTTGATCGAATAGTTAGAAGAATTTTACACACTGATCAGAAGTGCCATCCATACAAATTAATGGTTGTTCCCAAACTGCAAATAACGCGACAGTATACAGTGCTCTGAAGATATTCCTCAAAATATTCCTGTTCTTCTCACAAGGGATGCAGATCACCTTCATCTCTCTGGCTCCATCAATAAGCAGAATTTTCGCTACTAACTGGAAAATAACACAAGACAGCCTCATGAAACCCCTCTAAACAGCAAACGAGTGATTGTATGGTGCACGGTTGCGAAATTTGATGTATGGGGGTCTCTACGTAATATTTAATTTATATATATATTATATTAGTTAGATGAAGATTTAATTTATTTAAATTAGATTAAAACATGCTTGCCACTTGCCTAAGTTAACTAGCACTACACGAGAAACAGTTTAAAATGTGGGAGTTATTTCTGCCTCACCTTAAAACTCCATCTTGAGGAAGGAGGCCACTCGGTTACAGTAACATCTGACCGGTCTGTGGAGATGGTGTGGAGCTTTCTGGAACCAAAAGTCAGTGACCTTTGGGGTCCAGATGTGTGGTTTTAACAGGAGGGAGTCACCTTACGCACCATGAGAAGGTCAATGGAAGCTCTGAGAGAGATTTTTCTGGGCAGAGGGAACCCGTCGTTAGGTGCTTTATCCGACTTGGCCACAGAGCACTCTCGCTGATCACGCAGAGTTTGAAGCGAGCATTTCAGCGAATCTTCCCGGAGAACGCCTATTTTTCAAAAGCGATAAACAAAAGCCACAGAGAAAGAATAGAACTAAAAAAAACAAAAAACAAAAACAACCCCTAAAATCTCATAAAAGTTTATTCTTCTTAAATATTTTCATTCCCTTTCACACCCAGTACTCGCTTGCATCTTAGTGGAATGGTTGCCTTGTTTGGGGTGAATTGATTTGATTAAAAAAAAAAAACAAGAAAAACGAAAAAAAATATTTTAATTGTTAATTCAAATCATTTTGGGAAAAAACAAAAAAACAAACGGATTTATCTGATAACTCAATAGATAGATAGATAGATAGATAGATAGATAGATAGATAGATAGATAGATAGATAGATAGATAGATAGAAAGAAAGATGGCTCTGAATCGACTAATATAGATAGATAGATAGACAGATAGATAGATAGATAGATAGATAGATAGATAGATAGATAGATAGAAAGAAAGATGGCTCTGAATCGACTAATATAGATAGATAGATAGATAGATAGATAGATAGATAAAAAGAAAGAAAGAAAGAAAGATGGCTCTGAATAAGATAGATAGATAGATAGATAGATAGCTCTAAACCGACTAAGATAGATAGATAGATAGATAGATAGAAAGAAAGATGGCTCTGAACCGACTAAGATAGATAGATAGATAGATAGATAGATAGAAAGAAAGATGGCTCTGAACCGACTAAGATAGATAGATAGATAGATAGATAGAAAGAAAGATGGCTCTGAACCGACTAAGATAGATAGAAAGATAGATAGAAAGAAAGAAAGATGGCTCTGAACCGACTAAGATAGATAGATAGATAGAGAGAGAGAGAGAGAGAGAGAGAGAGAGGGGGGGATATAGAAAGAAAGAAAGAGGGCTCTGAACCGTCTGATATATATATATATATATATATATATATATATATATATATAGAGAGAGAGAGAGAGAGAGAGAGAGAGAGAGAGAGAATAGGTTCCTAATTTCATAAACAAAATAAAAGAAAATGCAAAAGAAGATAGAACCTGTTCCTAAAAAAAACTGAATCTCACTAATACATGGGCTGTCAGTGAGAATCGAACTCACTAAGAAAGGCTAGCCGGACGACTTTCTTAGAAGTTATTCTACTGAAACTGTGTTAAGTCTTGAATCCACTTTTCCCTGTATGTTGCCCCCTCACCAGATACCGTAACTAAACAAAAGACTCTTTGGTTTGCCGACTATCTCGAGATCGTTGACAGCGAAGAGCGAGTGGGTGTGTAGGTAATTTGTCAAACTACCTTTCCTTAACAGTAACACCTAACCTGTTGTTACACTCATTGTCAACCTTGACCTTCAACCCCACCCCACCAAAACAACACACACACACACACACACACACACACATATATATATATATGTGTGTGTGTGTGTATATATATATATATATATATATATATATATATATATATATATATATATATATACGACGACGCTTGTCGTAAATCTGTAATGCGGCTTGAATAGTTCAGTGACACGTCTGCCGACGAAGACGCAATCAACGAAAAAGCCAGGCGTACAACTAAAAATGTAAACACTTGGCACTTTACAGCCGGGGTCGATGTCAACAAGCGTGTGCCTGGCGATAACCACAAGTTGAGCTTTCCACGAGCGAGCGAGAGAGAGAGAGGGAGAGAGAGAGAGAGAGAGAGAGAGAGAGAGGGGGGGAGTTAATTGTCCACACGAAGAACCCACTACTGCTCCTGCTGTGATGGCTAGTGTCGTAACTCCTTGCCGCGGCTGCCGCCGCTGCTGCTGCTGATTATCGCACTCGATGAGGACTGTGGGAAAATAGCGCCGAGGTCTCTCCCACAAATCCCCGGCTCCTTGGCCGGCATCACTTATTGTCATTTATACGCATTCTTTGTTATTTGTAGCTTCTTTAGAAGACTGTTTATCTTATTAGACGGACCCACCCCGCCTACAATCATAAGTAACTCAAGCTTGTCGGCCTTTGAGGGGATCGGAGAGCCCAGGTGATGCCTACAAACAAAACAACAAACTGGTTTCGGTGATAACTTAGTGCTTATAATATTAGAAAAGGCATATCCAGGTGTGTTGTTCAATATCTGTAATCATTTTCCTCGTTATACAGGGGAGGCTGGATGAATTCAGCCCCCTCTCCAATTTCTTTTTTTGGAACTCCGAACTGAACAGAAATAATTATTACTGTAAAATTGCCATTTAATAAAAATTTAAATTTTTATTTTTTGGGGGGAGTCGGAGGCGAAACATTAGCTTTTAAAACTGTTTTTTTTTAATAATTAAAAAATCATTTTACTCCAAATAAGGCGATATAGCCACTAAGACACAAAAAAGGATGCTGAGAGTGTAGGGAATTATAAAAACGTTGCTGAGGAGAAAAGACAATAAAAATGTACAGGATTCAAATAAAAGATTTAAGATGTTGATTAAAGGTGCATTTTTTTTTTTTTTTTGCATGAAAGCGAGTTGTAAAAGATTTTCCACAGGCAAGAAGAGCAGGTTACATGCGCTAAGGATTTATAGATCCTATTCCAGAAAATAAGTACAAAAAAGTGTATATAAAATATAGAAAAAACCGGAAACAGGGATTCATCAGATTATATACAAACAGGCTTCACCCGCTCGCTATCGCTTCGCAAAATGAGATATTCACCACTTGAAATCTTTGAAACAAACATTTTAAATGAATATTTCATTCATAAAGCCGCTTGTTATAGTTAAGGAAAGTTTTACAAATAGATGCCAACTTGTTGAAGGCCAAGTAAAATGCAAATTTCAAATACTTTTCTGCACTCTATAAGACAATATTTCTAAGCAGAACTATTTCTGATATGAAAATCAAAACACTCCTCAAATAAAAAAAACAGTAATGAAGGACAGTTAATTAATGAAATAAACATTTTTTAAAATCAATACGCAAATTAGTTAAACCTGAAGAGTAATATGGCCAAGAAATAAATAATAGAGATATTAAACTTTTACGATCGGGTCCCTACGTCAAAAAGTCTTGAGCGACGGATCGGTTGAACTCTCTGCCTTCGGGCGGAGAGGAACCCGAACGAGGCTACGCCGAAGGGCGGAGTCTCTTTCGAGGAGGTAAACCGACCCTGAACCCGTTTATACGGGTTCAAATGGCATATTTTTTGCCGAGCCCACGGACTCGGAGATCCCACGTTAAACCGTCCTTGTGCCACATGATGCCCTCGTGGGGGTGACTGAATACCGTCCCCACGTTAAAAACTGACCTTGTGTCACAACTTAACTCAGTGGGGGTCAAGTAAATAAACCTCGGGTCCCCACCTAAAAATAGACCTTGTGTCACATCTCGCCCTAGTCGGAGAGGGGGATATAGTAAATACCACGTGTAACTTACTCTTTTTGAGTAGGTGCACATCTACTTATCATCTCTGTTGCGTCTCTGTCTTTGAAGAGAATGCGCTCAGGGGCGACTCCGTCAAAGGACAGAGTCGCAACTGAAGAAAATTATACTGAGAGGTACCATCTCTGGGGAACAGTTGCCAGATGCCTCCTTCACATTATACTAGAGTGAAGGATCGGTCCACGCACCGAGGCCAGTGCAACCGAGGGTTGCGGAGGCTCGGGGAATTTTTGTTCCTTGCCCGGGTGCACGCGCTCGGGCTCCCCACATTAAACCGACCTTGTGTCACAACCTGACCTCATGTGCGGGGGTTTACTAAATATCTACTTATCATCTCTCAGTTGCGTCTCTGTCTTTGGACAGAGTGCGCTCAGGGGCTTCTCTGTCAAAGGACAAAGGGGCAACTGAGAAAATTATACTGAGAGGTGCCCAGCCCTAGGGAACAGCTGCCCGAGGCCGCGCCCTCCCGTTGCACCAGAGGGAGAGATCGGTGCTCGCACCGAGTCCAGAGCAACCGACGGTTGCGGGGCTGAGGAAAGTTTTTGTTCCTGTACCGGTTGTACGAACTCGGGTCCCTACTTAAAAACAGACCTTGTGTCACATCTCATCCAAATCGGGGGACAGAGTAAATACCACGTGTTAGTGTTGGATATTCACTAACCGCCCCCACGCGGCTGGATGCGGCAAAAGGTTGGGAGCTTTGAACCTCAGAATTTGTGGGAGAATTGTGCTCCTGTCTCGCATTAACTCATATAGATAACATTATTATTATTTACTTAAAGTAAATAAACAAAGAAATCAATAGCAACATTTACTTAGCATTCGCCATAGTTTACCTTGATTTTCAAAGTTAGCCTTAAGGATATTTTTTAACGTTCTTAAATTTTAAAAAAACTAACGATATTTTTTTTTACTTCTGCTTATAAATATATGGGGCTTTTCTAAGCTACGCTTAGATGTGGCACAAGGCCGAAAGTATGGGGCACTCAGTGATTATCGAACTCCCCTTTCAGTTGTAATTGGCGATTTTAGTAAGCGTAGTTTACTTGTGGCAGTGAGAATCAATATTGCTATTCGGTCCTAATTGATCTAGTGAGGCAAGATGGCTAATCATCACATCACGTCGAAGTGCTCCGTTTTAGTAAATGTAGCTTACTTCTGGCACAAGGCCGAAAGTGTGGAGCACTCAGCGAAGATCGAACTCACTACGTAGTTGTAACAGGTGATTTTAGTAAGCATAACTTACTTGTTGCACAGGGCTGAAAGCATGGAGCGCCCAGTGAGAATCGAACTCACTATTGATCTAGCGAGGCAAGCTTGCTAACAATTTCGCGACGCCAAAGTGCACAAATAAGCGTAGCTTACATGTGGCACAAGGCTGAAAGCATGGAGCGCCCAATGAGACTCGAACCCACTATTCAGTCATAACTGATCTAGCGAGGCAAGCTTGTTAACCATTACACCACGTAAAAGTGCTCACCGATACAAATAGGTTAAATAAATGTTCATCTGTTAATAAAAAAAAGGAAAAAGTGTGTCTTAAAATATGTTTTGCCAGTGGAACAACGGCCACTAAAAGCTAAAGCCCCCCCCACTTCACTTTTAACATCTGATTTAATCCCAGTTACTCTTATATATCATAACTCCCCTTCTTGACTATGACGAGTGGGTGGGGCGTATTCGCTGATTTTCGGAAAGAAAGGAAAGCTATTTCAATTCATCGTTAATGTTATAATCGCGTCCTGGGTAAGACGATGAACTACATCCAACAGCAAGTATGTTTTGAGCAGCGTGGAACCATTGCTCGTGTTCCCAGGTCCACTGAGTCTCGGGGTGGTAGCACCTGTCAGGGTCCCAGCTATGGCCAAATAATTATCCCCACCCAAAGGGGTCAAAGCACTATGAAAGTATGAAAATCGGTTTTAACAACGGCAATACTTTTTGGAAAAAAAATATTTCCAGAAATACATTTTTGGAAAACAAATATATTTCCAGCAGTAAATAACCCATTGAGGTTGATATGCCGTAAAACAAAATAAACCAAATCAAACTGATTTCTTACAAAGAATACATATTCTATTCATACGAACCTATCCTAAAAATCTTGTCGGCGTTAAATAACCCATTGAGGTGTTGATATGCCATAAAACAAAATAAACCAAACCAAACTGATTTCTTACAAAGAATACATATTCTATTCATACGAACCTATCCTAAAATTCTTGTCGGCATTAAATAACCCATAGAGGTGTTGATATGTCGTAAGACAAAACAAAAGAAACTTAAAAATAATGTTTAATCTTGACTGAAATTTGTCTTTTGTCTTCATTCTTTAAGTTGCTTTTTATCGCATCTTTACTCGAACCGTCTGCCTACAGCATTGACGAAACAACCTACCGAAAAAAAAGTGTTAATATATCTTATAAATCGCCTGACAGAGAAGAAAAGGAGGCTACACACGGACGAGAACAAACATATATTTCGTATGAAGTTGGGGGATTTTCTCATAAGGAGAGAGCGTTTGCAAGATCTGATACTCACAGGACAGTTTGAAAGCTAGAGGGACAATGGAAAACAATGACATATTTACGGACATATTTACAGACCTTAAGCACTGTATTTTTCGGCATATAAGACGCACTTTTTTCCCTAAAAATAACCTGAAAAATTCGTGTCCGTCTCCCAGGACAAATATATGGCAACTCCTAGGCTGAGGTAAGCTTGGACGGTTACCTAATTCAGCTTTTATATGATGTAATCTCAGTACTTAGGTTTTACAAGTATTTCCAAGACGATAAACCTTCCTGGAACCGAGCCACAATCTTAAACATGTTCTATTTACTAGCAACGGCGGGAGCCTTTCGGCTCTTGACTTGTATGTCATTGCCCTACAAACAAAATCGGACGAATGATTAATGTAAACAATAGGTGGCACTAGTATGTGAGGGACGCATGTGAATGCGTTGTTGGGTGAGAATGACTTTTTTTTTTTTAGAAATTTCTTTCCAATATTAGGGTGCGTCTTGTAAGTCGGAAAATGATGTCATTCTAGACTTGAAGAGATTTAATTAGCGAATAAAACTTTCAGAGTTCAGGCGGAGACGTTAGGAGTATAAAGTTGAAGTAGACTTTAGAAGGAACCGGATACCCAATCCTAAACAGGAAACAACTCCTGTTCAAAAGACATGGGAGGAGTGTAATTTATCATCATATCCAGGACGCGAATGTAGTTTATCGTCATACCAAGAAAGGGCCTTTTATATGATGTAACCCCGGTACTTAGCTGTTACAAGTATTTCCAAGACTATAAACCTTCCTGTAGCCGAGCCACAACCTTAAACATGCTCTGTTTACTAGCAGCGACAGGGACCTTTCCGCTCTTGACTAGTATGTCATTGCCATAGAAACAAAATCGGACGAGTGATTAATGTAAGCAATATGTGGCGCCAGCATGGTGAATGTGTTGTTGTATGTGAATTAATTTTTTTTTTTTTTAGAAATTTCTTTCCAATTTTAGGGTGCGTCTTCCATGCCAAAATTACAGTCAGTACACTATAATATTTGCTATCTAATTCAGCCTTTCATATGATGTAACCCCAGTACTTAGCGGTTACAAGTATTTCCAAGACTATAAACCTTCCTGAAGCCGAGCCATAACGTTAAACATGCTCTGTTTACTAGCAGCGGGAGCCTTTCTGTCATTGCCGTACAAACAAAATCAGATGAATGATTAATGTAAACAATACGTCGCGCCAGTATGTGAGGGACGCATGTGAATGTGTTGTTGGATGAGAATGACTTTTTTTTTTCTTAGAAATTTCTTTCCAATATTAGGGTGCGTCTTCCAAGCCGCAACGTCTTGTAAGCCGGCAAATACGGTAAATGTATGGCGGGACAAGTTTTGGGGGAAACAACAAAAAGTCAATATTTATTAAGAGCTAAATAGGACAAGAAATTGTCGAAAGCACATAAAGACACTTGGTGAGACTCGAACTCCGAACGATTTTACCAAGGGTAATTCTGGATGCCAGCACCTCTGAGCGTCTGCAGTACGGAAAAGCTCAACTGCTTACCAAATACCTCACTCGTAATTAACCTATCAAAACAAAGCTGCCATCTTATGTTGAAGTGCCCATATTTAATTAAGCGTAGTTGTGGCACAAGGCCGTATCGAGCACCCACTGAACCGAACTCACTAATCAGCCGTGACTGATCTCTAACGAGACAAGCTTGTTAATCATAACACTACGTCGAAGTGCTCGCTCATGCAATATCAAATTTAAGCTTAACTTGCAGCGTTCCAATATTTAAGTCATCTCAAAATAGTTGACGTTAAAGCTTGGCGCTACTGGTTAACTGTCCGTAAATTGGAAGTGGGTAGGTATTTTTAATGTTTTGAGAAATATATGGTATTTGCTCACCCCACAAGATAAATAGTGTTATATAAATTCGTTGTTTCATTGAAATCTAGCAAGGACTTATACACGAAACATATACTAAATTAACAGTTTCATGGTAAAAAATGAAATATCGGTCTAAGTGATTATTAACTCACGCATGCACATTTACACACACACACATATATATATATATATATATATATATATATATATATATATATATATATATTTATATATATATATATCCAGTATCTATCTATCTATCTATCTATCTATCTATCTATCTATCTATCTATCTATCTAACTAGCCCAATCCTTGAATATCTATCTATCTATCTATCTATCTATCTATCTATCTATCTATCTATCTATCTCAGTTTCTTCATATCTATTTATTGAGTTGGTGCATAATTATCAGGCTTTTTTAACCAATATTTATTATGAAAAAAAGCAACATAATAATAATTTTAAATGATTATTCCAGAGCGTATGATTATCGACACGCATTTTTATAACCTGAACATAAAATCATATTTCTATTAAAAAAATGTAAACAAAACAGCATTTTTTATTAACAAATAACTCGTCTACAAAAAACGCCTGATAATTATGCACCATCCCAATATCTATGGATCTCTTTCTTTCTTTCTTTCTTTCTTTCTTTTCAAATGTTCTTTAAGGCAAATGTTATTAAAAACAACAGACATTTTGTGTCAATTACTTTTATTGATCGACTTTTCCAAATTATGAATAATCTTTCTCAGATAAGGATGAAATTCAATCAGAAATTGTCATTTTGGAAGAAATATGCTGTAAGCTTTCGACATTTTCTTAAGTCATCGTCAGGGTAGGTAGAGAAAAAAACGACCTTTGTCGAACTGGTAAGTGTAGTAACGAGGGCAGGTTTTAGTAAATTTTTCAGGGTGAGCCTAGGAACAACAGCAATTAAGAGGTGGTTTGACGCTCCTCAAATCCTCCAATCTCGAAATCAGACGCCTTGCTGCCGGATGTAGTTTATCGTCATACCCAGGATCAACCGAGGATGAAATCGATTGATTTATCAGTTGATTGAATTGTTTTTCTACGGCTTAGCAGCCATTTGCTTGATATTTAAAACTAAAATCTTTTGGATTTTGCTAGCGGATATTCCATTAACAATTTCTTTTCTCGATAAAAGTTCCACTATTTAACCCATAGATGGGGCCGGAGACGGATTCATGCCATTTCTAAGGATGCTTGCGCGTAAGTGAATGTAACGAACCCGAGCGAAATTCGAACCCTGTTCTCCGATTTCAACCGAAGATGGAAAACGCTACACAGAAACGCGCATTGTAATAACAAAAGATGCTTTCCCGAAGCTAAGCAACATATTAGAAGTAGGAGAATTTCGTTAGAAACAAGGAAAAAAGTGCTGAACTCGTATATGGAGGCGAATTTGGGACAATCCACTCAAAGATGACGAAGAGGTATCAGAAATATGGGTTCTACAGAAGGATACTGAGAATATTTAGGTAGGAGTGCGTAAGCAACGAACACATCCTAATGAAAATGGAAACAAAAAGTATAAAGCTGCTGAGAATCAGGAAGATTCAAATGAAATTTCTGGAACACATAATGAAGGAAAGTAGGCTTGGAGAATTTGGCACTCACAGAATATCTTGAAGTCAAAAGAGAAAGTCAGAGACTCATCTACCTGTTGAGATTGTGCGAATGGGTGCCGTAATATGGGGACTGGCAGGAATGGTAAAGAGAAAAACGTTGCTAAGATCTACAAGGGGTAGGAAGTCATGGAGAGCCATGATCGCACACATCTTGATGGGACGCGACACAGAAATGAAACAAGAGGAAGCTGACGGATAGTATAAATTGAACACTTCGCTAAAAACGAGTTCGATTTTTAAAAAAATAATACGGTAAAAACTTACTCTGAATTTTCCTATTAGTGACCAGAAAATATTTGGTGTCTACAGGTATAGCTGTCCATGAGTTTTGATAGAATAATAGACAAGGAAGAATTATTTATCAAATCATTGCAAAAGTTTGTGCCTCATTTTCATTGTTAATGTAAAATGAGCGGCGTTTGTTTTGGTGCCGATTTCTGGTGATTTTTAGATTGAAACCTTGAATCGTTCAGTTGCAAGTCAGACATTGAATGTTGACGTATTGTTCCCCAAAAGAATGCCATCAAGATTGAAAAGTTGCACTTTCGCCATATTATGTTATGAATTTCCAAAAGGGTAATCGTCGGAACACCGACGAAAACATTCAGAAGATTTATTTCGATCATTCACCGGCTCATCAGAAGGTTCAAAAAGCGGTTTGGCAAATTTCGTCAGGGCGATTTTAGTCTATACGATCAACTACATTGAGCAGCATTCCGTCGTCGATGAAGACTCTTTGCTCGTCATCATGGAGAATGAAGCAAATATTTCGACAGAAGAGACTGTTAAGAGTTTGAAAATAAATATCTCAATTGTCTTTCGACGTTTAAAGAGACTTGAAACAAAGACGTCGTTGAATGTTGACGTTTGTTCCCCAAATTCCTTCAAGATGGAGAATGAAAAGTTGCACTTTCACCATATTATGCACTCTCTCTCTCTCTCTCTATCTATCTATCTATCTATATATATATATATATATATATATATATATATATACATATATGTGAAAAGTGTATATAAATATAAATAAATATATATATGTATAATTATTTATATATTATATGCGGTACTAATAGAAAAGCTTAATATCAGAGATAGAGCTAACATATTTGGTTGGATAGATGTAAGACCCTATATATATATATATATATATATATATATATATATATATATATATATATATATATATAAACAGAATATATATATATATATAAACAGAATATATATATATATATATATATATATATATTCTGTTTATACGCTGTTTTATAGATACTATCATTTTTAAGTAAATGACCTCGTATTGATTACATTTACCGGGTTGAATGTCCGAGAAATTCCCTAGAATCGAACCCGTATCCTTAGGGAACCGTCATTTAGAATGACGGCTATACCATTCGTTACTTCATATCTGCTCGAAGCGTATCTTAACCTAAAAAATGACGGCATATATTATGAAATGGAATAAGTCCGACAATTATTTTATTATATTTACTGTTTATACAGAAAACAGTTCCGTATTACAGGTTCGCTTCCTGTCGGAGGACACATATTTTTTTTTTTTTGGTGTCGATTTCTGGTGATTTTTAGATTGAAACCTTGAATCATTCAGTAGTGAGTCAGAAATTGAATGTTGACGTTTTGTTCCCCAAATGACCGCCTTCAAGATAGAGAATGAAAAGTTGCTCTTTCGCCATATTATGCTCTATGAATTTCCAAAATGAGTAATCGTCGGAACTACGACAGAAAACATTCAGAAGATTTATTTCGATCATTCACCGGCTCATCAGAAGGTTCAAAAAGCGGTTTGGCAAATTTCGTCAGGGCGATTTTAGTCTATACGATCAACTACACTCTGAGCGGCATTCCGTCGTCGATGAAGACTCTTTGCTCGTCATCATGGAGAATGAAGCAAATATTTCGACAGAAGAGACTGTTAAGAGTTTGAAAATAAATATCTCAATTGTCTTTCGACGTTTAAAGAGACTTGAAACAAAGACGTCGTTGAATGTTGACGTTTTGTTCCCCAAATGAATGCCTTCAAGATGGAGAATGAAAAGTTGCACTTTCGCCATATTATGCTCTCTCTCTCTCTCTCTCTCTCTCTAGCTATCTATCTATATATATATATATATATATATATATATATATATATATATATATATATATATATACATATATGTGAAAATATATGAATATAAATAAATATATATATGTATAATTATTTATATATTATATGCGGTACTTATTAGGAAAGCGCTTAATATCAGAGATAGAGCTAACATATTTGGTTGGATAGATGTGAGTTTGTGACCCTATATATATATATATATATATATATATATATATATATATATATATATATATAATATATATATATATATATATATATATATATATATATATATATATATATATATATATATATATATATATATATATATATATATATATATATATATATATATATATATATATATATATATATATATATATATTCTGTTTATACGCTGTTTTTTATAGATACTATCATTTTTTAAGTAAATGACCTGTTTATAATAAATAGTATTGATTACATTTACCGGGTTGAATGTCCGAGAAATTCCCCTAGAATCGAACCCGTATCCTACAGGGAAACGTCATTTAGCCTGACGTGCTATACCATTTCGTTACTGAGGAATCATATCTGCTCGAAGCATATCTTAACCTAAAAAAAATGACGGCATATATTATGAAATGGAATAAGTCCGACAATTATTTTATTATATTTACTGTTTATACAGAAATGACAGTTCCGTATAGGATACAGGTTCGCTTCCTGTCGGAGGACACATATTTTTTTTTTTTTTGGTGTCGATTTCTGGTGATTTTTAGATTGAAACCTTGAATCATTCAGTAGTGAGTCAGAAATTGAATGTTGACGTTTTGTTTCCCAAATGACTGCCTTCAAGATAGAGAATGAAAAGTTGCACTTTCGCCATATTATGCTCTATGAATTTCCAAAAGGAGTAATCGTCGGAACTACGACAGAAAACATTCAGAAGATTTATTTCGATCATTCACCGGCTCATCAGAAGGTTCAAAAAGCGGTTTGGCAAATTTCGTCAGGGCGATTTTAGTCTATACGATCAACTACACTCTGAGCGGCATTCCGTCGTCGATGAAGACTCTTTGCTCGTCATCATGGAGAATGAAGCAAATATTTCGACAGAAGAGACTGTTAAGAGTTTGAAAATAAATATCTCAATTGTCTTTCGACGTTTAAAGAGACTTGAAACAAAGACGTCGTTGAATGTTGACGTTTTGTTTTCCAAATGAATACCTTCAAGATGGAGAAATGAAAAGTTGCACTTTCGCCATATTATTTCTCTCTCTCTCTCTATCTATCTCTCTCTCTCTCTCTCTATATATATATATATATATATATATATATATATATATATATGAAAAGTGTATATAAATATAAATAAATATATATATGAATAATTATTTATATATTATATGAGCAGTACTTATTAGAAAGCGCTCAATATTAGAGATAGAGCTAACATATTTGGTTGGATAGATGTGAGTTTGTGACCCTATATATATATATACATATACATATATATATATATATATATATATATATATATATATATATATATATATATATATGGTTAAGCTTTTAGTCCTTACGAAATATAGTATGTCGCCGATAATTAGGGAATCTTAT